GTTATCACAGATTGCCTCATTTTTCATCCTTATTATTGATAAGACCATTTTTATTATTACTATTATTATTATTATCATTACAACTATTATGACTAATTGCACAATTTATATTCACCATCGTATTATCCTATAGACAAAACACCATGATTGGTTTATATTTGAATTTTTATTTGCAAACTTATATATATTAGAGTTAAGCCTGATGTGATCTAATTGAAAACAATATTGTTCACTCAAATATGTTGTTCTAAATCTGAAAGAAGCAACCTCCTTTACCTACCCACCTACCTCGAAAGAATCATTTCAACTATAGGTGGAACTGAAGAGTACCGAGAAAGCAAGGCAAGCCTTCATTACTCTCAAGTATGTGTGGAGGGGATCAACAGCACTCAGCGTGAAAATGAAAATAAGATCCGGATTTTCAACTCCAATGTGAAGCCAGTGCTACTCACTATACGGATCGGAGACTTGGCGAATCACGACGAGCACCTCAAACAAACTACAGACCTTCATCAACAGCTGTCTTCACTCATTACCACTCAAGATGAGATGGCCGGTGAGAAAAGATCAACAACAGGTAGGGATCTCTGGCAATGAACGAACCAACCCATCAGGAACCAATTGTGCAACAAATATGTAGGAAGAAATGGAGCTGGATTGGTGACCATACTCTGAGGAAACCATCAAGGTTAACTAATTTTGTTCTACAGTACTACCTGTTTTGTTCTTAAGAAATTATCGCATCTTTGTAGCTGCCAATACTGTACTTTCGAGGTAATTTGGAGTTTTTGACATTGTTATTATTGGATAAAACAATAGACATTATGGCGAACAATCATTTTTCTTTGCTGTCTTTGGAGCGTTTTGTAACTTTGTGTGTGCGTATTTCAAGGAAGTTTCAGTCAACTATAAAGTAGGACACTTAGATCAGTTTCCAGAGTTTAGACCACCTCCCGTGTGAAGTGGTATAATAGAGTGAGCAATACTGAGGTTAGGCGTCAGTCGAGTGCTAAATAAGGAGGGGAAATCAATAGGCGAGGCTTTGAAATTACATCGACTGGTTAGGACATGTGTTACGTATGTCTAACCATAGCCTTCCTCAACAACAGGCAATATTAGCTGACATAAGGTCAGGTTGGAAAAGAGCCAGCGGTGGTCAAACCAAAACATGGCACCAAGCAATGAAATCCACAACAATTAGTTTAAGCCAGACAGAGAGGAAGGTGTAGACTTCCTGGTTGGGGTCCTCGGGACGGTAAAAACCAATGTCTGGAAGCAATCGGTGATATGGCTCAAAATACGTTGTCAATGGCTGGCGCAGATGCATCCACTACTTGTGACTTATAATACCCAACGAAACTATGTTTTTCTTCGATATTACTATTCTTTTTGCCTCATATCTCTGTTTACTGTTTCTGTTTTGCATTTCTTTTTACTTCTCTTGCTTTGTGTGCTACATATGGGGAGTGTGGCGACTTGAACTGCTGCACATCAGTGCAAAGTTTTATGTTGAAAACAGGCAGGCAGACCACCACAAGTTGGTTTTGGAGATTCATGTTATGAGGCGGCGAGTCTACTGACCATTCAGTTATTGAGATATTCAAATTAATGAATAATTTGGTATAACTTTTCAGGCTAGAGAAATCAAAACCTGACTAGTGAATTCAAACATTTACAAATACACCAAGTAGTCGAATATGCAATTAGGAAGAAGAAGAAAGGCATCAAAACAACATCGAGGTAAGATGAGAATAGATTTACTAACCCGATAAAATGAAAGTGTAATTCGATACCAATCGGTTAAATAATGAAGCTAAGCTGAACGACAAAAAAAAACAACAACATCCCAACACTTATTGTACAAGTGAATCAGAGAGAAAAGAAAGAAAATCACCAACACTTCTGAATGTTTTTTTCGAATAGAACAACAAAAAGTCAAAAATCAACCAAAAATTAACAATATTTGGGCAATAAAAGATATAAAGAAGTAACCTTCTTTGATTCTTTTGCGTTCCAAGTGGAACAGAGGAGGCTTCAAGCTACATCTTTGAAGTTTCAGTAGTGATGTTTGTTTACGGCGTGGGACTGTTAGTCACACGTCAAACCTTCCCACTTTACCGGGCTTATCATGGCCAATCGAGGTTTAGAGGTGAACAGGTAATTAGTGTTCTAGAATCGTCATATTACAATACACCTTCACAAACAGTCACAAAGAACTGGTAAACTCTAACAAAAGGAAGCACAGCTATGATCATCAACTAGTGTTTTAACTTGATGACATTGATCACATTTCAAATCCAGTCATTATTCAAGAGTAGAAGGTTATTAGCGATTCGAACAGCTTAGTGATAATCATACTTTCTGCACCGATGTGCAGCAGTTCAAGTCGCCACACTCCCCACATGTAGCACACAAAGCAAAAGAAGAAAGTAAAAAGAAATGCAAAATAGAGACAGTAAACAGAGATATGACGCAAAAAGAATAGTAATATCGAAGAAAAACATAGTTTCATTGGGTATTATAAGTCACAAGGAGTGGATGCATCCACGCCAGCCATTGACAACGATTTTGAGCCATATCACCGATTGTCTCCAGCCTCCATTTGGTCTTTACTATCTCGAGGACCCCAACCAGGAAGTCTACACCTCCCTTCGTGTCTGGCTTAAACTAACTGTTGTGGATTTAATTGACTGATGCCATGTTTTGGTTTGACCACCGCTGGCTCTTTTCCAACCTGACCCTATGTCAGCTAACATTTCCCATCGGGGAAGGCGATGGCTAGGCATACTTTCGGAGAAACTATACGTCAAGCCTAATATCCACCTTAGTATGTGTCGGTAGTTCAACGGTAGAATGTATGCCACTCACGCCTCACGTGGTCTGGGGTTCGATCTACGGCCGACGCACTCTCAAACCTCGTTAAGTCAGTAATAAGACTGGTAAAGAGGGAAAGTTGGGCTAGTTGAGGCTAGCAACCCCATCCCGTAAAAATAAACACCACTGCTACCGAAAATTCAAAGCTCTAGTTTTGAAGCCCTATGTTCCACTAGGAACGTAAATAAATAAAACAAAAAACCAAATATCCATCTGAGTAGATATTTGTATAAGAAATAATTGCTTCAAAGAAACTTTATAGCATCGATAATCAATGCAAACCTTGACTTATAGTATTCATCAAGAGTCAATCGATAATGGAGCCCTACTGATGAGTTGAAACACGGATGATACCTGTGTTCCATACAAAATTAATTAACGTGGATGAATATTGATGACTGGAATTTCGTACAATGATTAGCTCGTTACACACCTTAGACCTTCATATCAATAAATACCTCATATACCAAAAGTTTCAAATGTAAGACAGAAATAAATAAAGAGGTTTTTGATTGGACACTAGTCAGTAACTAGTGTAATGTGTGTCTAGTCCTTTGTTTGGTGCAGACTGAATTCTACCATCAGTCAAGTTTGCAATGTGGCCACCATGTCACTAGGTGGCTCGTCATCACGGTGCAGTTTAAATTGTTGATATTGGATGGTTGTAGGCAATCGACAGAAAGCCTCTCTGGCATCTAGTTTTCGTGTTAGTTGGCACTCACCAGTCAGCAAGTCATATATGCAACCTTGACTGATAGAATTCAATCTGCACCACAGACAGTACTAGACACATTATACTAGTTACTGACTAATGTCCAATCAAAAATATCCAATACAGCCTTACAGGAGGTCAGTCGCGAGCCGGCCCGAATAGCTCAGTGGTCAAGTCTCTGACTGCAGTACTCACTGAGTAATGCGGGTTCGAATCTCACAAGGGACATGGGTTCCTTGAAGGTCGCAGATACGCCTTGTTGACTGTTGAGTGTCAACTAGCAAGAAACCTAGGTCCCAGAGAGGCTTTCTGCCAATTGCCACCAACAAGAACGATGATCTTTAAATACTCCCATTATTGAATGATGATGCTTGATTACCCCTGACACCGCAGATCATCGAGTTGTGTGATACATCGAAAATCACCCAAGAAATCACGGAGTTTTTTTGTTTAGTGTATCCCTTATAACACAGCATTACGTCATCAGCTGGCTACACTCCCCGACTCCCCTCCCCCGCATTTCTTCCAACTAGTTTTAGAATTAGCAAAGAGTAAATGATATTAGAAGCAAGTGAACAATATTTGTAACACAATTCAAAGCGACTGAAGACAGTACTCCAACACATGCCACAAGACTTCGAGTCTACGCACACAAAGTCGACACAGAAACGACGGTGGTCTATTTTGTTTTTATTACAGCTTGATTCCACACAGTATTTTTGGTACAACTATGGAATTTCCAGAATGTGATATCAGTAGCCCAAATTTATCAGGCTGACCATTGATATCAGGTGTACGTCTGCCGGGGATCGAATCCCGGACCATGTGCATGGTCGGCAGGCATCCTAACCGCTGTGTCCACTTCTCGGACAACCCAAAACTCAGGGAGATAGGATTGTAATTGGAAGGAGAAGAGAAAGTAATAATGAACTGTTGTACAGCCAATTATTTACGTTGGGACTACGGTTGCGAAAGACATGACGTCATATATAGTAAGGGAGCACACTACTAAAAGGGGCACAACTAGAAAAACACATCACTCCAACATACTTGACAGTTCTCTAGAAAGTGTCAGTGTGTGGAGAGAAAACCAAAACCAACAAATGAACTTGATAACAATATTCTTTCTGAAATCACTTAATTTATATAAAAAACAAATACACTGAGTATATATGGCATCTTTTAAAATGTTATTCCTTTACATTCCCACCAGGTTGGGTAGCCTCAACTGGCCCAACCTTCCCTCTTTACCGGTCTTATTACCGGCTTAAAGAGCAAGGTAAAGGAGTGCGTCGATGGCCTGGGATCCAATCCTGGACTACATGAGGCGTGGTTGGTGAGTGTTCCACCTCTGAACCACTAACGCATTATATGGCATTTACCAAACAAACAAGAATAAAACTACAAAACTTACTTGAAGCTAAATGTCGTAAAGCGGCAATTTTCAATTGTGGTGATAATCTCGATTTGCCCTGATAATCATGAAGACCAAACATACGAAAGTCTCTTTTACGTACTTGTCGGACTTGATGATGAACATTGTCAGCTGTATTCAAAGAGAGGAAAAAACAAACAATAAATTAAAGGAAATACAATAATAACAGCATAAATTACTTTCGATATAAGGATAAAACTTGGACACTGTAGTGGTAGAGTATAATTCCATTATGGATAAGATTTTATTTTGATAAAGTCTCACAGTGTGTTATACATTAATATTTACTGATGACCACGTTTCGAGCACAATTTATTATTCCTGCTCATAATCATATCAAGACACTACTCACACAACTTCCCAACTTCGTTTATATAATTCCATTATTTCTCATATCTTGATCTCCTTGATAATAATATCTTCCATATCTCTGGTATTTGCGTTAAGTCACTTCGGTTGCATGTGATGGGTATAGACTCGATGAACTAGGCTGGATTCAGTAATCAACCTCTCTCGCTCTCCACCTACCTATATTACTTTTAAGGATTTTAACCCTCTCCCACCATGCTATTGTGTGGTTGTGTGTTAATGCATGCAGTGCTATTGCTGAGTGTTTTTCTAAATTACTTATCTTCTCGGGGTCAACCATTCTAACCTCAGCTAAATTCTTATGTTCCGACAATCTGACTACCCTCGACCTACTAGTTTGACCTATGTAGTTGACTTAAATCATAGTCATTTCAAGGTATTTTGTAAATTATATTTTTTTGTTTAATTGGGTCCATAATAGAGATAAATTACTTTTGTTCGCTGTAAAAACAAACGACAAACAAACCAAGTGACATACATTTGGATTTACATCGACCTTTCTCAGACTTATTCAAACAGTTATATGACAATGCCCCATGTCAAGTGGTTCACAACAGAAATTCTTTGAAGTGAAGCCAAGAAGAGTAAGACAAGGCTGTCTACTATCACCAATGAAATTCCCGACTGTGGTGGACTGGATCATGCGGTAAAGCGTCGGTAGCGAGAAAATGAACTTCCTCTGGGAACAATGAGAAGACACTGGAAGACCTGAACTTCCCGGATGGTTTATTTATAATGTCACACGAAGATCTATCGACGAAAACCAACAAGTTGTCAGAAGAGACAGAGAAGATAGGACTTCAGGTGAACACAGAGAAGACAGAGGGGATGGTAATAACCAGCCAACAACGACAAGCACTAGTTCCTATCGACGGAAGAGATTTGAAAGAGGTCGCTTCTTTCACTTATCTAGGAGTCATCGTTTTGAACTACAGGCGAATAGCACTCATGAGGATGTCAAAACAAGAATCTAAAAGGCATGACAAACCTTCATCACTTCGAAATCAATTTGGAAATCTTTTGCACTTAGCATAAAAAACAAAAAAATTCGGATTTTCAACACCAGTGTTAGGTCAGTTCTTCAATATGCCTCAGAAAGTTCGCATATCAGAAACAGCATTTCGAGTGGGTTTCAGACTTCCATGAACAGCTGCCATTTCTGGATACTGAGGATTAGATGGCCAGAAAGAATTAGCAACATGGAACTTTGGGAACAAACCAGTTAAGAACCTATTGCCCGAGAAATATGCCGGGAAAAAAGGCAGATGGATCGAACACATGCCGAGGAGACCGTTGAGTGACATCACGCGTCAGACCGTCGAGTGGAACTCGAATAAGAAACGATGAGTTGTGCGTCGCTCTGAAAGTGACATGGAGGAGATAGTGTGAGGAGACGAGAGTTCATAGGCAAGTTCACAGGAACCAGCTAAACACAAATGTGCAGAACAGGATGAAATGAAAATGTGCTGTGGAAGCCCAATCTTCCACTCAGAGTCCTAGACAGTAATAAAATAATAATAATAATAGAGCATCCACTGAAACTAGTTAAAGAATCATTAAAAATCCAGAGTTATGTCTTTCTCGCCACTGCTTGAGACGTTTCAGCAGCACGCACCCATGAACCACCGGGTAATCTGATTCCTCGTCCTGGATTCGATACCCAGTTACAGAGTAGACACGCACTGGTGAAGCGTTCCAAACTAGAACGAGACAACCATTCAGTACTCTCTGATTTTCCATATTCGTCTCATTGATGTTATTTCACTGTCTAACTACAAAACCAACATATCAAAACATTACTCACACAACTTTCCATCTTCATTTATACAATTCCATTATTTTTCATCGCCTGACTTGATTGGTAACAGGCAGGCTTAGTTAAATGTGTCTAAAAAACCGAGTAGTAGCACTAAGTAGTACAAGAAAAGACCCTAAATGATGGAATAAAACAGATAGAAGAAGGGTCGGTATCAAATAACTATCCCATAAAATTCATTAGGAAGATAACTAAAGGCAAAAAACAAAATAAAAATAATGGGGGAACTAGTTATAATAAAATAAGTAAGAGAGAATATAAGACATCTACAGTTTTACCATATAAGGAGGGGACATCTGAGAGCCTACGTAGGATTCTTAATAAAGCAGGAATTAGAGTGGCATTTAAACCTACAAACTAACTCAGATAGGACAAGCTCTGTAGGTTAAAGGACTCTGTAGGTTGACCCAATTATACAAAATAATATAGTTTACAAAATGCCCTGCAATGACTATGATTTGGATAAACTACATAGGTCAAACTAGTAGATCAGGAGTAGTGTGATTATCAAAACATAAGAATTTAGCTAAGTTTAGGATGATTGATCCCACGAAGATAAGTGATTTAGAAAAAAGCTCAGTACTACATTGCACTGCATGCATTAACACACGCATACACACAATCGAGTAGGTAATACAGATAGTTGGAGAGCGAGAGAGGTCGATTACTGAATCTTTGTTCATCGAAACTACACCCAACACAACACGTGCAATAGGAATGACTCATCACTCATACCGGAAATTTGGAAAATACTACTACCAATCAAGTCAAGTGATGAGAAATAATGATGGAATTATATAAACGAAGTTAGAAAGTTGTGTGTGTAGTGTCTTGATATGATGATTATGAGCAGTGATAAATTGTGCTCGAAACGTGATCATCAGTAAATATTACTGTATAACACATTGTGAGACATTATAAAAATAAATTTCACCCACAATGGAGTTATGCTCTACCACAGTGCACAAGTCTAATTCTTATATCAATGATACAAAACTACCACTTCGAAAATTATGAATATAAGAACAAATTAGTTCAGCGAAGAGTCTCTTTTCGGCGAATTCATTCACTTAGCTGTACAGTCGCAAATATATACAATTATTTTGTGTGTGTGTGTGTGTGTACATTAGGTTTGTCAAAATCAAAATAACAGTTAGTGTGGGTTGTTGATTATATCATCAAAATAATAAAGAAATTTGACCACTTCCATGTGTATCTACCAATTCACCTGCTCTTGCGGAGCGAGGTATATAGGTCGTTCGATGCGAGTTTTATCTAAAAGAGTTCAAGAACACTATCCCGCCTGGCTAAGGAAAAGTAACAACGGAGCAATAAGGAGCTCCATTATTGAGCATATACTCAACACTGGTCATTCGGTTTGCAAGGAGAAGCCGTTCAGAGTCATCTATAAAGTCAGAAGAAGCCTTCCAAAATCGACAAGCTTCCGTATACTTTGTATTGCCGAAGCCTTAGCGATTTGGATAGAAAAGCCTGATTTATGCACACAGAAGAAACTTCCCCACCCCCTCCTACTACCGTGGGTTTAATTTCAAGTTTATCTGTCAACATTTTGTTATCATATTTTTTTGCAATCTTCGTAAAATAATTTTTAGTAACTAACCCATTCAATCTTTTCACCTATTATCTAGTTTATTTTCATAATTGTCTCCATACTCCTTCACTAACATCAAATCTTTCTAAACATGTCTATATTACGTAACCCTACTCACATCTGACCAATCTTCACCCCACTTAGTTACAACTTTGATTATTAATCACACATTTTAATTTCTTTATTATTTTGATGATGTAATCAACAACCCACACTAACTGTTATTTTGATTTTGACAAACCTAATGTACACACACACACACAAAATAATTGTATATATTTGCGACTGTACAGCTAAGTGAATGAATTCGCCGAAAAGAGACTCTTCGCTGAACTAATTTGTTCTTATTTCAATGGGTATATTTCGCGAATTATGAATATTTTGTCTTTTATGAAGTTTCCTAACTAATCACAAATGTTTAAATTAATCCCAGCGTGACTCGGCGCTCAAATTATTTCAGGAAGTTCGTAACACCTACGGCCTGGAAACCTATAATCTAATCACAAATATTTTGTAAAAAACTTTGTGATATCTTCAGTACTAAGAATTAACGTACATTGACCTGTGCATGTTAATTTCAGCAGCGTTATTTCCACCATCCAAATTGACGAAAGAAGTTTGTTATCACTCATAAACTTTTCGAACTTTTAACTCTATTTGGTGAGTTAGTGTGTTTGTGGAAGCAAATACATAAGTCGTACAGAAAGACAATTGTCTACTCATCTCATGATGCAGCATTTGCCAAAATGGTCGAAAACAGTTGAATGCAAAGTGCCAAAAACCTCAATAACAAAACATCTTGTGAACCATCGACATGATATCGACGCTGTCAAGTCATTCACTGTTATTGTCAGCAGACAAAGAAACAGGAAGATGCTTGCAATTGTGAAGGAGAATTGTGCAATTCGAGTTTATAAACCAGGTCTCTGTGTACAAAAGGAGATGGTCGTCACTCTCTGAATCTACCATGGTAATACGTTTTACTTATTATTCTACCTATTATTATTATTTTAAAACTATCCTTTATGAGTAGCATTATCTTAACTCACTTCAACACTATTATTATTATTGTTATTATAACTATTACTATTGATATTACTCTGTTTTCAATTCTTGATATATTCTCTAATGACTAATTGTTTATTTAAGTGGTGTAATTGAAGCTTAATGCATTTTGTCTTAATTTTAATCTCTCACACTCCATCTGCCCTTATCTATTTGAAAATGACATGGAAAACATTCACACCTGTCGTTTTACATAGATAATTCAATGTAGTTTATTTGCTTATCAGTCTTATTTCTCCCAATGTAATT